ACATCTTGAAGAACATGTGCCATATTTTCATCCTTTGTGTTCTAATCGTATTTTAGCTGCGTCATTTCCGTGCGCAAGCTTTTTCAAAAGTGCTTTTCGGGAACAGAATTTTTACCCAGAAAAGGTTATTATTTTCGAAAATTTTATAGTTAGACTAACCATTAGAAGTTTAACTACCCATTTACACGAAAGGGTTTTGCAAATTTTACGCGTTGATGACTATAGTGACGTTTTCTAAACTGTTCAGTTTTTGTGGGTAGCCGCTGCGCATGCTAGATAGCTCTGTATTGAAAGAGTTGGGACACTTATTGCTCTTTGCATTCTGCGTAACGATTGGGTAAATGTGGTCACATGGGTATTTTAGCCGCCATTTTGTTGAAAAGCGGGAAGTTTAACTATTGTTTACATAGGAGATTAATTACAAAGTTCTTTTAAAATGGTTTCATGTTGCGCGGTTGATTGCAGCATTCGAAGAAACGATGGATATAGAATGTACGCGGTCTCGAGTGGGAAAAAGAACATTTAAAAGAGAAAGAAAGGGCTCTGCGCAATAAGTCTGGAACACTTCAATCCAACATCTACCTCTCGTCTTTGTCAGCATGCCATGAAATGATTTTACTTGTGTTATTAGAATATCAATTAGAATAAAACGTTTTTTAGAAGGATTGATTACTTGTATCATATCTCGTGTACCAACCTTATTTAAGTACAGTATTGTTATAAAAGTGACACTATTGAAATTATAAATTCTCGTTTAATTTTTCTTGTGTACGCTTTAGGAAGAATTAAATGATTTCTGTAGTGTAACTTTTTTTGGTGGACACCCTGTATATTCGTTGATAAACCTTCTTTCAAAACTCTATGATTTTGCTAAACGGCTTCGTAAATAAAAGTGATAATTTTATGAAAATGCACTTTGAAGCGAGTCAGTTTGAGCCAATTATTCTCCGTAAATTGAAGCCAAATGCAATTCCCATTCTGTTTTCGCATCGAAAACCAGTACTTCGTAGAAAAAGTCCAAGAAAACGAATTTTTAGAACAACGGGCAAGTACTTGCTGTGTTTCGTAAATGTTTCTTCGGTATGTGTTGACTTAAAAATCTCTCTAATGCTTCAGAATCTCTCTAAACCTTGTGCAAAAATCAACTCCGTTAAACGCTAACACGGTTTGGGCAAGCAATTTTGTTGAAGAGAGCGAGGTCAGTGAATTAATGCAATCTGAAAACTACGATGAAAACTGTTCTAAAGTCAAATCTTTTGAAGAACTTGAAATTAGAAGATGGCGGGAAGAAATTGTCAAACTGAAAAATAAGAACAAGAATCTTCGTAACAATTTATCAGCTATCTTCAACGATGATCAACTTTTCTCACTAGAAAAAAATAGAAATGAAAAACGTACACAGGGTAAACGTGACTTGTTTTAACATTTAAAAATATTGTATTCATGTAATGATGAGAGCAATTTTTAATTTACTAAGTTCTATAAATGGTATAATTTCAGTCTTTTGGTGCAATTCCACCATTGAGCAAGCCACACAACTAAGATATTCCTGTGGAACAACTGGCTATAACATGTTGTTGGACTTTAACTAGCCACTACCCTCCTTCGCACATTAAATAGGAGATATAACATGTTGTTGGACTTTAACTAGCCACTACCCTCGTTCACACATTAAATCAGAGAATGCGACACATTGGTTTCTCAGCTGGTATAATTTCTGAGGCTTGTTTAGCACTTGCCGAGAAGGTATACTTGCATAACTAAAAAGTTATTTTAAGCAGTTATCGCTACACCTTTAATTATGTTCTTACATACAGTTACTTTTCTAATATTTCATACCAAGACAAAATCCATGACAGATGAAAAGCGTGACAGTTATCTTCTACTAGATCAAACGTCCTTCAAATCTTCATATGACTTTGATCAAAAACAGGCTCAGTAAAAGGACAATGTACCATTTCTGGGAGCAAATACAAGTCAATGGTAGATGTTATGGCAAATCAAGCATTTGTCCTGATGCTATGTGGCTTGACAACCAGATGGAAGCAGGTGGTAGCTTACTACTTTACAGGAGACTCTTTTAATGCAGTTCAGATCAAGCAAATAATATTGTTATAATAGAAAAAGCTCATGAAAGCAACCTTAAAGTCATGAATATCACAATGGATATACGAGGTGGTAATCAGGCAATTTTAAGAAAATTCGCTATATACTGTAAATTTTCAAAAAAATACGAACAATTGGTATTATCTAATTCATTCTCTCATCCTGTGGTTGAAAACATGCAACTAAGCTTCATGCCAATTGTTCTACACTTGTTGAAATATATCCGAAATCACTTGAACCGAAAACAAGTTATTTATCTACCAGATTATGTGGTTCGTGACAACAACCTACCAAGTAATGCAGTTACAATGCGCTTTGTCAAAGAGTTGGTTGACCATGATTAAATGCACAACATGAAAGTAGCACCACACTTGGACGATAAAGCTTTAAATCTATGTCATTTCAACAAAATGAAGTAAGCTTTGCGAAGAATCTCTTGTCAAGAAAAATAGGAGCAGCAATTCAATACCTGATTGAAGAAGAAATTATAAGTAAAGAAGCTTCAGCAACAGCTTTGCAACAGAAGTTTTGCAACCAAATTGGTGTGTGGTATGACACAATGCATGCCTGGAAAGGAAACATCATCTTATGAAGCAGACAAAACAGCTGACAAAATATCTTTTCTTGACATAAAGCTTCCAAAGAGTTGTCTTAATGACAATCATTATGTATAGAAGAACAACATTGTGATGATGATTGACTTGACCAAGAGTCAAGGACTGTAAAGCCTAGAACATCTTGGTGGTTACTTAGTTCAGCAGTTCATCAAACTCAACAAACATTGTGAAAACTTGCATTAAGGCTTTGAGAAAAAACCGCCCGCTTCCACTGGAGAACATGATTACCAAGTAAAAGCCCAATCATTTACGCAGTTAAGGGATTATACCATAACATCTTTAACTTACATCTCACGTGCTGTTAAAGTTCTTCTACGTGTGCAGAACAGTTGTTTACAAAAACGCAAGATGAAATACTTCTAAAGCAGAACGTTGTAACTTTCCTTATTGAAAACTGTAAGCAAATCCTTGCTGAAACGAGCATTCCAGATTGCCACAACAAAATTGCTGAAAAGCTTCTTTACAATTCGCAAGCGAATTTTCATTAAGACCCCGTTTACACTAGGGCTAAAGTTTTCGGATTCATCGCAAATCTGGGATGTTTTATGTTGGATTTATTTTCTGTTTACATTTGCAGTCATTAATCCGGAATGGCCGCACACGAGCACGACACAATTGACTTTGTGGTATATCCTACTGTAGCTCAGTTCGGTAGTCCACTGGGTTAAATTAAAGCTGTTCTAATAGCACGATATCCATACTACCTTTATCAACTAAATTCAAAAGATACTGATCCCTGTCGCTCTGTAAACATGCAAAAAAAGCCAAAAATTTGTCTTCTCTGCCTATAACGCTATATTGTATATGCTGGCTTTTGGAACAAAAATGGCGGACGCTAGGCAGTTTTACTTCTGGTGTCCTAACTCCTACAAATAGAGGGAGTTAAGACACCAGAAGTAAAACTATGTAATCCATGAACAGGAAATACAAAATACTTTCGATCACTTACAATTATTGAGCAAAGCGTTTACTATAAAACATTGTTTGCAATAAACACAAAATCTTTGGAAATGTATAGACTTTTCAAGACATGATTAAAAAAAAAAATATTGAAAAACACGACCCGATGGCTAAAAACACAATTAATTCCCTGTATAATTATGTTGAATAATCATGTCATAAGGCCTCCCCCGAGCTAGCGCTGCCTCCAATAAGCGCCGTACGTGTGGTGAGAAAATTAATACCGCTGCACTTGTTCGAACAAACACGGCTTACATCCAAGACACGTCAGAAAACGTTTTAAAACTTAACTGTAAGAAAATGGCTTTAAGTGAAAAATCCTTTAAAACGGAAGAAATCTAAATGACGTCAATAGATGCGATTCTTGAGAGCACATGCATTTTAGACGTGCAATCTAAGCTAAAGCGTTCGAAAAATGCAGAAATGGTGAAACACTCACTTAATTTTAGTCCTATAACTAAAGTTAATTTTTAAATATTAAACGAGTTTGGTGTAAATGATATGAAATATACAATTCTATTTGAATTATGTTCATTTACCTACTTCATTTAGTCCTATTTAGTTGATTGGCTACCCACTGGTATGCATTGCGTACCTATTTTTTGATAGCTAGCTAAAACCCCGGTGAGTTTGAGTTTCGAGCGATGCACTTTAAAAAACAGGCCTCTCTTTGGCGCAACAAAATGAAATGTTGATTATTGCTAAAGAAGTAAATGGAAAATTTTAAAATTTTAAAGTAACCCCGCTTGGTGTATGCTTAACATCTAAAGTTAATAAACGTAGCTACTCGTATTTTACATTTTGTATTTGACGTACAAGACGTACGACAACGAGACGTACAAGACGTACAAGACGTACGACAACAAGACGTACAAGACGTACGATAACGAGAAGAACAAGACGTACGATAACGAGACGTACAAGACGTACGACAACGAGACGTACAAGATGTACGACAACAAGACGTACAAGATGTACGACAACGAGACGTACAAGACGTACGACAACGAGACGTACGAGACGTACAAGACGTACGACAACAAGACGTACAAGACGTACGATAACGAGAGGAACAAGACGTACGATAACGAGACGAACAAGACGTACGATAACGAGACGAACAAGATGTACGACAACGAGACGAATAAGACGTACGACAACGAGACGTACAAGACGTACGACAACAAGACGTACAAGACGTACGACAACAAGACGTACAAGACGTACGACAACAAGACGTACAAGACGTACGACAACAAGACGTACAAGACGTACGACAACGAGACGTACAAGACGTACGACAACAAGACGTACAAGATGTACGACAACAAGACGTACAAGACGTACGACAACAAGTCGTACAAGATGTACGACAACAAGACGTACAAGATGTACGACAACAAGACGTACAAGACGTACGACAACGAGACGTACAAGACGTACGACAACAAGACGTACAAGATGTACGACAACGAGACGTACAAGACGTACGACAACAAGACGTACAAGATGTACGATAACGAGACGTACAAGACGTACGACAACAAGACGTACAAGATGTACGACAACGAGACGTACAAGACGTACGACAACGAGACGTACAAGACGTACGACAACGAGACGTACAAGACGTACGATAACGAGACGAACAAGACGTACGATAACGAGACGAACAAGACGTACGACAACAAGACGTACAAGACGTACGATAACGAGACGAACAAGACGTACGATAACGAGACGAACAAGACGTACGATAACGAGACGAACAAGACGTACGACAACAAGACGTACAAGACGTACGATAACGAGACGAACAAGACGTACGATAACGAGACGAACAAGACGTACGATAACGAGACGAACAAGATGTACGACAACGAGACGAATAAGACGTACGACAACGAGACGAATAAGACGTACGACAACAAGACGTACAAGACGTACGACAACAAGACGTACAAGACGTACGACAACAAGACGTACAAGACGTACGACAACAAGACGTACAAGACGTACGACAACGAGACGTACAAGACGTACGACAACAGACGTACAAGACGTACGACAAGACGTACAAGACGTACGACAACAAGACGTACAAGACGTACGACAACAAACGTACAAGACGTACGACAACAAGACGTACAAGACGTACGACAACGAGACGTACAAGACGTACGACAACAAGACGTACAAGATGTACGACAACGAGACGTACAAGACGTACGACAACAAGACGTACAAGATGTACGACAACGAGACGTACAAGACGTACGACAACGAGACGTACAAGACGTACGACAACGAGACGTACGAGACGTACAAGACGACGACAAGACGTACAAGACGTACGATAACAGAACAAGACGTACGATAACGAGACGAACAAGACGTACGATAACGAGACGAACAAGATGTACGACAACGAGACGAATAAGACGTACGACAACGAGACGTACAAGACGTACGACAACAAGACGTACAAGACGTACGACAACAAGACGTACAAGACGTACGACAACAAGACGTACAAGACGTACGACAACAAGACGTACAAGACGTACGACAACGAGACGTACAAGACGTACGACAACAAGACGTACAAGACGTACGACAACGAGACGTACAAGACGTACGACAACAAACGTACAAGACGTACGACAACAAGACGTACAAGACGTACGACAACGAGACGTACAAGACGTACGACAACGAGACGTACAAGATGTACGACAACGAGACGTACAAGACGTACGACAATAAGACGTACAAGACGTACGACAACGAGACGTACAAGACGTACGACAACAAACGTACAAGACGTACGACAACAAGACGTACAAGACGTACGACGATAAGACGTACAAGACGTACGACAACGAGACGTACAAGACGTACGACAACGAGACGTACAAGACGTACGACAACAGACGTACAAGATGTACGACAACGAGGACAAGACGACGACGACAAGACGTACAAGAAGTACGACAACGAGACGTACAAGACGTACGATAACGAGACGAACAAGATGTACGATAACGAGACGAACAAGACGTACGACAACGAGACGTACAAGAAGTACGACAACGAGACGTACAAGACGTACAACAACGAAACGTACAAGACGTACGACAGCAAGACGTACAAGACGTACGACAACGAGACGTACAAGATGTACGACAACAAACGTACAAGACGTACGACAACAAGACGTACAAGACGTGTACGACAACAAGACGTACAAGACGTACGACAACAAGACGTACAAGACGTACGACAACGACGACAAGACGTACGACAACAAGACGTACAAGACGTACGACAACGAGACGTACAAGGCGTACGTCAACGACGTACAAGACGTACGACAACGAGACGTACAAGACGTACGACAACGAGACGTACAAGATGTACGACAACGAGACGTACAAGACGTACGACAACAAGACGTACAAGACGTACGACAACGAGACGTACAAGACGTACGATAACGAGACGAACAAGATGTACGATAACGAGACGAACAAGATGTACGATAACGAGACGTACAAGATGTACGACAACAAGACGAATAAGACGTACGACAACGAGACGTACAAGACGTACGACAACAAGACGTACAAGACGTACGACAACAAGACGTACAAGATGTACGACAACGAGACGTACAAGACGTACGAAAACGAGACGTACAAGACGTACGACAACAAGACGTACAAGACGTACGACAACGAGACGTACAAGACGTACGACAACAAGACGTACAAGATGTACGACAACAGACGAACAAGACGTACGACAACAAGTCGTACAAGATGTACGACAACAAGACGTACAAGATGTACGACAACAAGACGTACAAGACGTACGACAACGAGACGTACAAGACGTACGACAACAAGACGTACAAGATGTACGACAACGAGACGTACAAGACGTACGACAACAAGACGTACAAGACGTACGACAACGAGACGTACAAGATGTACGACAACGAGACGTACAAGACGTACGACAACGAGACGTACAAGAAGTACGACAACGAGACGTACAAGACGTACGATAACGAGACGAACAAGACGTACGACAACGAGACGAATAAGATGTACGATAACGAGACGTACAAGACGTACGACAACAAGACGTACAAGACGTACGACAACGAGACGTACAAGACGTACGACAACAAGACGTACAAGACGTACGACAACGAGACGTACAAGACGTACGACAACGAGACGTACAAGATGTACGACAACGAGACGTACAAAACGTACGACAACAAGACGTACAAGACGTACGACAACGAGACGTACAAGAAGTACGACAACAAGACGTACAAGACGTACAAGACGTACGACAACGAGACGTACAAGACGTACGACAACAAGACGTACAAGACGTACGACAACAAGACGTACAAGACGTACAAGATGTACGACAACGAGACGTACAAGATGTACGACAACGAGACAAGACGTACGACAACAGACGTACAAGACGTACGACAACGAGACGTACAAGACGTACGATAACGAGACGTACAAGATGTACGATAACAAGACGAACAAGACGTACGACAACGACGTACAAGAAGTACGACAACGAGACGTACAAGACGTACGACAACGAGACGTACAAGACGTACGACAACAAGACGTACAAGACGTACGACAACGAGACGTACAAGACGTACGACAACAAGACGTACAAGACGTACGACAACAAGACGTACAAGACGTACGACAACAAGACGTACAAGACGTACGACAACAAGACGTACAAGAAGTACGACAACGAGACGTACAAGACATACGATAACGAGACGAACAAGATGTACGACAACGACGAACAAGACGTACGACAACAAGACGTACAAGACGTACGACAACAAGACGTACAAGACGTACGACAACAAGACGTACAAGACGTACGACAACGACGTACAAGACGAGACAACGACGTACGACAACAAGACGTACAAGACGTACGACAACAAGACGTACAAGACGTACGACAACAAGACGTACAAGACGTACGACAACGAGACGTACAAGACGTACGACAACAAGACGTACAAGATGTACGACAACAAGACGTACAAGACGTACAAGATGTACGACAACGAGACGTACAAGACGTACGATAACGAGACGTACAAGATGTACGACAACGAGACGTACAAGATGTACGACAACGAGACGTACAAGACGTACGACAACGAGACGTACAAGATGTACGACAACGAGACGTACAAGACGTACGACAACAAGACGTACAAGACGTACGACAACGAGACGTACAAGATGTACGACAACAAGACGTACAAGACGTACGACAACGAGACGTACAAGACGTACGACAACGAGACGTACAAGATGTACGACAACAAGACGTACAAGACGTACGACAACAAGACGTACAAGACGTACGACAACAAGACGTACAAGACGTACGACAACGAGACGTACAAGACGTACAAGACGTACGACAACGAGACGTACAAGACGTACGACAACGAGACGTACAAGACGTACGACAACGAGACGTACAAGACGTACAAGACGTACGACAACGAGACGTTCAAGACGTACGACAACGAGACCTACAAGACGTACGACAACGAGACGTACAAGACGTACGACAACGAGACGTACAAGACGTACGACAATGAGACGTACAAGACGTACGACAACGAGACGTACAAGACGTACGACAACAAGACATACAAGACGTACGACAACAAGACGTACAAGACGTACGACAACGAGACGTACAAGACGTACGACAACAAGACGTACAAGACGTACGGCAACGACATTAAAGCACTCGTAGGAAACGACTGCAGTGAGTGACTAGAGTGAAGTGAGTATACTCAGGTCAATGTATAGCATAAATGTGATTTTTTGTTGATTCTTTATATTTGTGGATAATTTATCTTTCTGTTTTATAAAGACGTACTTCATCCTTTCTGTGTTTAGGTTGTTATTGGTCGGTTAGGACTTATTGCTGAAGTAAAAAAATACAAGTTTATAAAGTATACACAAATATTTTAGTGATATAGCGTGATTGTTATAGATATATGTGTGTTATGTAATTTGTGATCATCTGAAGTAGGATTTCCAAAGCCAAAGTTACCAGACATTATGTATCATACATAATAATGTTTCATTGAATTTTAGCCAGTGATATACAAGGCGGAAAGCAAATTCTTATTATAAATAATAAAGCGCAAGGATAAGTGGAATTCACAAGAAAACTCCATGTCTGTATATTTTGTGATTGTTTATGTTTTTGTTTCTATCGTGATTTCCACTTATCCCATTTCATACCATCTTATCCCAGTTTTACTTTCACATTTTTCATCCCACCATGTAATTTAATATTATGTAAATAGCTATTATATATATAAATACCTTTATACTTGTAATTCAATACTGTCTGATGATGTCTTGAGAACCAAGTCGAAACGTTACGCTTCTAAATAAATATTTCTTTGCATACGGCATTTTTGTATTGAATGGCTCTTTTAAAAGTACTTTGCTGAGCTTAAATATTTATAAGTAAGTAAAATGTTTATTGTTACGTTTACAATTGTCACAAATTGAAACTGTACATTTAAAGTTGTATCAACCCAAACATCATGATAATAAGTTTTATTTTAACCATTGAAGACAGAAAGTGAGAATTAATGTTCTTCATTATTTTAATCAAGAAAATATTATCCAAAAAAATTTAATTCCTCAATTCAAATGAACTTATGTCAAAAACGTAAAGTTTTATTGATTTTCATCATAGTTATTGACATGACGTCACGATGATGTTTTTACATACGAGAATTGTTGACAATATATAACATTTTGTTTCTTTAAGTTCATTTTATACATAATAAACGTACAAAAATGATCTCTCACATTTTTCAACTAATGACCATTAAACTCGAGAGCTATGATCTATATGAAGAAATTATACAGAAAGTCACTGTATAATTTCTTCAAAATAATCTTCATCTACAACAACACCATATTATCAAATGACTCACAATGAATGAGTTGTCGACATTCTTTCATTTCTATGTAGTGAACGTCTTATTTATAATATTATATAATAGCCGGAAGAATTTAAGCAATTTCATTTGTCGAGAGCTATGATCTATAAGAGGACAGACGCACGGAATTGAGGTCACAGAAAATTTCTTGTTTTTAAATGACAAACAAACGGAGAATTGATTTAAATACTTACCTGAATATATCCCTGAATGGGCAAATAAAAGAAATTAAGAATGCCCAGTTGAAGCATTGGACGCATTTGAGCAAAAAGAAAGAAAAATCCGGTTTTCAAACATTGATTTGCCCCGGCGGCTCGTGGCCACTCAGTTTTTATCACAATGACGTCATACCCGTGTATCTATGACTGTATAGACAACTGTTGAATGTTATCTATATGTTAAATACAAAAAACAGAATTATCTAACCATACATTTTTATTAAAAAGTAAATCATCAACATGAAATTTGTTCAAAGGTACAATACATAATAATAAGTTTGACAGAGCATCTTACAGTAGTAGTCTAATCTAAAGGATGCCCTGTTTAAATGACAATTCATTTATGAAGATTACAAGTAGAATCTTAGAAAGGAATAAACAAATATTCATGATCAATTAGTATAGAAGCGCTCTTTTTAAATACAAGTCATTTGTGTTATAAAAAGCAATTATACATCGTTTCAGATTATTGCAAAACATAGATAATATTTACATTCTTTAATAGCAGGAGGTAAGACATTCCAAGAAATAGTACCGATAAATTTAAAAGACCTTTTGCAAAATTGGTCCAAATTTATTTTTGGTATATATAGACAATTTCTTAAAGATTGCCTGGTAGAATAAGTATACTTCTTCTGTAGTAAACTATAGTAGGTGGAAACAAGCAACCATCCTTACGACCATCAACATCTATGTCCAATTTTCTCAAAAGATTTTTGAATTTACTATTAAAGTTTGAGTTGATGTATTTATTCAGGAACATTAAATTTTAAAAATTTAATTCTGTTTTTTAAACTGTCAACAATAGCTAAATTTCCGGTATTGGAATGCATAGTTATATGAGACATAAAACAACCTTCGTTAAGTTCAGCGCACGTTTTACCACTCTTTAAATCTACAGCAACCAATGACGACAAAAACACTCCAATGCAATAAGATTTGTGTACGATTAGGTTGGAGAACAATGAAGGGCGATTGGCATCATGCAAAATCGCTTTCACATCACCATTCTCGTGAAAAGTAATTACATAAATGGCCATATTTAAAAAGTCTATGCAAAATGTTATGACTACTTGCTTACTATCACTTATATAGCAGTCGAACTTTAGATCATTTACAGTTATCTGTTTTAGAGCAGTTTTTTTAATGACAGCTGTTATAGGTATTTCTGCAGTATGCCAAGGTTTCAAGTAAAGTTGATTGTTGTTATTTCCCCATTTCCATAAGGTGTATTCTGTTTTGTTTACAGTTAAAATAACAGAATTATCAGGTGATACAGCTGCTGCTTTAAATTTTGAACTTTGGACAGGAAGTCTTTTGTTGTATTGTATCTCACCCTTGGTAATTCTAACAACTTGAACAAAATCTAGTTCATCAATACAAACTAAGACATCACCAAATGTTAAGATTTCTTCAGGTTTAAATCCAATGTTAACATGCTTTGCTTGAGTAGAATCTACAAAATTTTCAGACGAAGTTGATATCTTCGTAAGATGATCAGAACCATCCCATATCCACAATAAACCATCCGACCACCAACATCCTAATGCATTCTTCAGTTGCATTGGTACAGTTTGAATAATAGTGCAACGTTCAATGCTCCAAATATGAATGTTGACGTGGTCACCAACAGCGAAAGCAGCAAAAAACGATCCATCCGGTGAAAAACAACAACATTTAATTTCAAATTTCTCAAAGATAAACGAAGGTCTCCAAAGATGATCAGTTTTGAAAATTCTAAGCTTGGAAAAATACGGCACAACGTAAAATTCCTTAAACGAGATGGGATGGACTTTATCACTATTCCTTTCAACACATGGACACGTAGCATATGGTAAAAACTCGATTTCTCCTTGATCGTTGTCTTGATTTGATCTTAATCTCCTTATCTTGATTTGCCTTGATCTCCTTGATTTTGTCAACAGAGTGATTTCAGAAAGCTTTCCATTCTGGCTTGTATGATAAAAAATACAATCCCAATATTGTTGTCTTATCATTAATAATAAACATAGTCCAATATTGTCTTTACATGAAAACATATCGATTGCCTTTGGGAATTGAAAAACATACCTTTCTGCAGAATGCGACGTCTCGCCGAATTCTGCTAAAAAGAACTCTGAATATTTATCGGTGCATTGTAGTTTTTGGTAATCAACAACGCAGCGTCGATCAATTCTTTGCAAAGTTATTAATTCCACACAGTGAACATATCTCTAGAATAAATTCCATCATATCTTGCTGTAATAAACAAACCAGAATCTGAGAAAGAGCAACGATTAACGACATCATCTGACTGTAAACATAATAACAAACGTCCATTGTTAACGTCCCACAACTTTACTTCAGCAGATCCATCACTAGTTACCAGTCTATTTCCGGTAGGTGAAAAGGAGCAACAACAGACGATTCCAGGTACAAAACAAAAGTCCTGTCCTTTTGTAAAGGGATATATGTTATACAGGGAAATAAATGTGTCTACATGATCCCACTTATCCAACCTTGAATCATCGAGTGCAGTGCCTAGAATGCATCTTTCTGTAAATTCAGGAAGTTCAAAATAGATATTTGACCATTTTCATATCCTACAGCAAGAAGTTCTTCATTGGACGACACACAAAGAGATGTAACGTTAGCACGCAAGGAGACAGTCAAATGATGATGGTTTGCTAAATATGTTGAGTCTGAATTCTCAAACCAAACAAACTTTCCTTGTTTCAATAAATCCCTTGCCAATAATCTTTTTTCGTTACTTGCATAAATTCTGTTTGCAATAGCTGGTAAATGAATTAAAGATGCATCAAGCTTTTCCGTCACATACTTATCTGTTGTAAGCCAATAAATTAATGCTTCCTCAAGTACATCTTTTTTCAATAAAGTACGTCGTTCTTTAATAATTTTTCGCAATTCATACCAAATTTTATAAATGTCATTGTTTTCCACACACATTAACCTCGCACAAACCACTTTGACATCTACTGCCCAACTAAAGTCAACATTTTCACCACATTCTATCATATGATAGATTCCATTCTTCAAAGCATATTTAATCATAGCAGTGTTCATCTGACCTTCAAAAATGTTCATCGACTTGATTTGTTCAAACACTTTCTCACAAGCATGCCATAACAACTTATGACCAGTTTTTGGATTAACTGTAAACTCATGCTCTTCATAACCATCTGATTTTAACCAATCAAAGAGAGACTTGTGATACACGGTCAAATAATCATCGTAAATTGGAAAAAATTGCGATAGCACTTCACGTATTTTACTACGATCTTTAAACTTCATGACATCAGAAAAACCTAAACATTGAAAAAGAAAAGACAAAGGCAAATGACTTTGATAAGCCACCAACACTTTAAGACATTCCGTAAAGTTTTCATCGGAAATAACGGTTTTGTGTGTTGATAAAATTATTCCTTTCAATAATTCTTTCAATCTCTTGAGTTGTTCTGTGTAAAATTTACTCAACCCAGTAGGAACCAATTGTATAATATTCTTAACAGTTAGTTCAGTTTTTTCTCTTTTTAAACTCTCTTGTGCGTGGTAAGCGTACAGAAATGAGCCATCGCATTTTGTAACTAGAAACTTAAAAGCATCATCACTATTTTTTCGCCTGATGACTCAACTGATGTCTCAAATACTTGTGCAGGTCTTTTTCATTGTTTTTATCACGAAGATGAGTTGTAATTTCTACAGGATTCTTGTCTTTCAACTTCTTTTGAACAGGAAGTTCTGGACGACTGGTGATGAAGATTTTAATCCATTTAGGCAGTCGGTCAAACTCTTCTGCAATCAATTCCAACAATTCACTTTTGCCATTAACTTGGCTTTCATCTAAGGCATCAATAACCAAAAGCATAGGTTCATGATCTTCCAATGAATGCAATGGATTATGTAATAAAACACGGAATTCATCGGTGACTGATTCGTAGGAATGTTTTCTCTGTAATTCTTCATTCAGTTTACTTTTAAAATCTGATATTGTATGACACATGCTACTAGCCAATGATTCTATCAACATTCGAGGATTCCTCTCATCTGACCGATTATATCTGCAGAAATGAGAAGCAGCAAGTTTCTTGTTTTCAGAATATAGTCGACACAACTCAGCAGCAAACACACTTTTGCCAACGCCAGGACCGGCAATCAAAACCATGACATTAGAAGCATCTTCACTTCTATTGTTAAACCAAGTGTCGAGTTTTTCAAATAACCATTGTCTAGTGCCTTGTAAGTATTTCTTGTTAAGATCTTTTATAAGAGAGTTGAAATTAAACTTTCCAAGCTTTTCAATATCAGAATATGTTTTGTTCTGTAATATTTTTTTTACTCCTGCTACATCAGCTTTTGTTTTATTTATATCCTCATTTAAGTTTGCCATCTCTTGTTTGAGACCTTTCTTTTTATTACTTTCACATCTTCTTTGATTTTTCAGTGACATCGAGTAACTGCTCTTCTTTTTATACCATTCTTTTAACATTTCGATATAGTTTGCCTCATCGGTGTGAGGGAGCTTTCTTTAATTCATCTATTTCAGTTTGTTGAATACCCAAACCAACCAATGCTTTTGAAATTTCCTGCCACAAGTACTCAAACTTACTGTCATCTACACTAGTTGTAGTTATGTGACCGTACACTTTGTTTCGATAAAACTTTATTCTGGCAATATTTGTTGAGACTGAGTTATCTGAAGAGCAAGGAAGTTCATCCCATCCTGTAGTTGGTGCTGTTAGACCACATATGTTACGCAATAAGACAGTCAATAATGTGATGTCAAAGTTTTCAATGTCAGGGTCACCAATTGACGGGTAAAGAAGATCCCATTGCTCATTCTTGATAACTTTAAATCTCAAAGATGTTAGTGTCTTCTTTGTAGAGGGATCTTTAAGTTTATCAGCTAAACTTGATGGCTTTAATAAAGATTGCAATGTATGGGTCAAGGCTTGTTTTCCTTTATTTATCAAAAGTTTACTCAAACGAGATCCGTTTGCCTCAAACTTCAAGTTTTGAGGTAGTGAAGCCATTTTTCAAGCTAGAAATGAAGAACGAGTTTGTGAAAAAAGCATTAATTTGCAATGTACAAAATGAGCACAAAATAATTCTTTTCTTTTTTATATACGTTAAAAAATACGTTCACTCTTCTCATTAACAAGACCCAGTAATTGATAGCAGTGGCGTAGCTAGCGAAAACTATTTGGTCGGGCTCACGACAATTTAAATTGCCGAAGGATCTTATAGTAAAGCAGAGAAACAGTTCAAAAATAGTTGCAGATATGTGATTTATTTTCTCAACACCACATACATAAATAGATACCTATGTACATCTTGTAAAGAAACTTTGACAAAAGAATCGAAAAATGCTCAGATTTGTCATCAACAACTATCAAAAGTTGTGACGCCGTTCATTGTCGTGCTGAAATGACAATCATCATTGACTGCATTGACATGCCATGGACGTAAGACATCATCAGTATGAGAAAGCAAGTCTTCGTGGTTTTTCAATGAACTTCTTTAGAACCTCATCATGCAATGTGTTGGCATCTTCTTTCTCTGACAGTATGTCTTTGTGAATGGAAATCCTGCAAAGAGAACTTAAACGTCCTTGGCTCATAGTATTTCTAAGATAGATTTTTACCCTCTTCAAACAAAAAAATGACCTCTCAACTGAAGCACTTGTAATTGACAAAACCCATTTATCTTTAACAGCTTTACAACTTCTGGAATACTAGATTGATAATGGAACTGAAAAATATATTTCAAAAGTTCATCGCATGAATCACAGTGAAAGTCGTTATCTCTGTGAATAAAACAAAGTTCGCTAACTAGCATTGGTATGTCAAACATATCACCATAAACCTCCTTTAGAAGATTAATCTTTTCTGAGGGCACTTCACCTTTCCACATCTTAAACACCTAGGGTTAACAAGGTCAAAAATCTAAAACGCTCCATATCCTGAAATCGCTCTGTTAGTATAGTCCCAATTGTGTAAAGAATTTCAAAATAAATTTGTTTGTAATTATGCTGTTGGTCATACCTGGTTACTGGTAGTGCCACTTTCTCAACAGCCAGGTCGTACACCTGACAATATTATGTATCATTTCTCAGAGAAGCAACAAAGGATTTGAATCTCTCAAACCTACTCATTGCATAATGAAAGTCAGTGTCCTTGTCTTGCAAGATAGAATAAAGTATGGATGACTGCTCAAGAATTCTCTGGAAAACATGTACCAAGAAACAAAACAAGAAGCCATTAAGGTAGCCAAGTAAACCAGTAACCTTACTTAACATTTCATCATCCCAAACTATTGGATTATCAGTAGGATTTTCAAATAAGTCTAACAGTTTCTCAGAGTTAGAATGCAAGACATTAATGACATGAGCCCTATAATACCATCTTGTGTCACCAGGACTAGGAAACTCAAGCCTATGGGATGATAGTAAAGCTTTTCTCTTGGGGAATTGCTAGTAAAGGTGCAGAAAGCACTAATATTAACAAAGAAAATCTTAACAGGTGAAATGGGGGATGGAGTTTGACATAATACTAGATTTAGTCTATGGGGAGCATAGTGAACAAATTGAGCATAAGGATAATCCTGCTGAACTTGAGCTTGAACACCATTGAGATGACCAGACATAACAGATGCACCATCATAAGTCTGTCCAATAAATTTCTCTTTCACATTATTATATTGACTTAACTTACCCTTAACCACTGATGATATAGCAGTTGCAGTCCTATCACAACTAACATCAACAAACCCAAGCTGTCTTTCAATGACACTTTCCCCTTTGTCCATTCGAACAATTACACTCAATTGTTCTTTGGTAGAAACATCAGTTGCCTCATCAACCTGTATACTTAAGAGAGTGCAGCAATATATTTCCTTTAAAATCTCATCCTCTATTATCTTATCGAGACAATCAATCAAATCATTCTAAAAAACAGGAGAGACTCCAGTAAACCACCCTCCCTCAGCAAGGTGGGTTTCAGCAAGCCTTCCATGTAATCACCTTTCAAAAACAGAATCCATCTTGGCAAAAATTTCAAGTAGCTCTCTATAATTTCCTCTATTCATGCTGCTACTAGATTCATCATGCCCCCTAAATGCAAGCTCTTACCTAGACAAGTATAAAACAGCTTCTGTTATGGTTTTCAACATTTCCCTGTTTTACCTTACCTCCTCGTTATGACGCTGAATCTCTTCACGTCTGGCTTGTGACACGAGACAGTCGAGACGAGGCTGAAAACCGTAGGTCTTCCAGGTCTTATAAGCACCCAAGTGCGATTTTGCCTTCTCATGCTTCTTACAATCGGATAGGAAATTCTTCATGTTTTTGAATCCCGTCTGCGTCCATGAAGATGACGATCCAGGGCAAAACAAAAGACAAGGCCAACAGAACAATGCATTCTTTTCTGAGCTACCACAAAGCCTATCTTTCTTCGAGTACCAAATTTCCTGAAAGCTTCTATTGCCTGTAGTCGCTTGTAAATTTGGAATTGGCCGCTGCTTTACGAGTATATTTTGCTCGCCTGATTGTCGAACAGAAAATGGTTTCTTTTGTAGTTCACTTATTACATCGATTTCATTAGCCGAAGCCATTGTAATGTAAGTTATCACGATTTCCGAACGTATATTTCGAAGGCTCAAAATTCAAGTCACGCTTTTGAAAATGAGCCCGACTAGATGTTGTTAAACGTTTGAGTGTGTTCACAGCTACTCTCAACCAATCAGATTACAGATATTCCCACTATAGATATTACTACTTGGTCGGGCTGGATTTTCAGAGCCCGACTAGATGTTGCGAAACAGCGCAATTGAGTTTGCTCGGTTGCTGTCAACCAATCAGGTTGCAGATAATCCCACTATAGATTTTACTACTTGGTCGGGCTGAATTTTCAGAGCCCGACTAAACTGCGTAATGCCTGGCACTAGAAATGCACTAGTCATTGTTGCTAAGTAACGTTTAAAATATGATAATTTTGCCAATAACGACGCAATTTGACAAATATTACACTAATAGCTGTGGATTATTCAAAAGAGTCGCAGAATTTAAAATTTTCGCAAATCAATTTTAAAGAAAACAAATTTTTCATTTTTGGGAAAATATTTTAGTCGGGCTGGGCCCGAGCAGCCAGACCGCTAGCTACGCCACTGATTGATAGTACATCATGGAAGTCAGCATCCAGTAATATAAACGACTTGACACAATAAAAAAATAGATTTGACACAATAGATTTAACAAAAAGCAACATTCTAGGTACGCATATATTTACATAATTTTTTTGCTCTAGCTACATAATGTTTATATGTTGAATGTGACAATGTGAACAAAATAAGCCCTTTTTTCAAAATCGAACTGATTTTCTAATTTTATGCAGTAAATGTTTAAATATTTATCAAATGACATCAAACGAAGCGATGACACAAGTTGCTGTCCAAAGATAAAAACCGCACTTTTATTCAAAACAAATAAATATCTTATGTGTAAGAAATCCAAGCGTTTTTCTTTCTAACTTGATTCCACTTTGATGATAAAATGCTGTGATTCTTCAAATCAGTGAATCAGTCGACTACCATGTTCATTGTCTATATATGGTTCTCACCAAATTTATATTTTTTGCAGAGACTTTACCAATAAATTACCAGAGAAGAGATCAGTTGCACGAAGGTCGAATAACGCTATCATTATTAAACTGAGTAGAAACGTTTTTGAACGCTTCAAAAATCTCTTGAAACGAAAAAATTCAACGGTTTGAACAAGACAATAATTGAATTACAAAATTGGTTCCAGAAATACAAAGTTTCATCATCATAAACAAAATATAACCATGCACATTCACAAATTTAAAAAACTACTATCCAATGGATAACGCTATCCACGCTTCGTGCAACAGGCTCCAGTATAAATTTGAAAAAATTTTCAATAACAGGAGGCCACAAAGCATCCAAATGGAAATGACTAAACTGTTTTTCCGAAATTCCAGGGTCAAAGATCGGGAGATGTAATCATTATCTTTACTAAGCACCTGTTAGCATAGCAAACCTTCCGTTTAATATGTCTTATTGTAGTGTAGTAAAGAATCTACGAAAACTTGACAAAACTTAAAGCTTGATTGCATAAATCTCCTTGAAATTTGTGGTTATATCGTATATGATTTTGATAAATGGCTGGATCCTCTTTTTTGTGATGATTTTGTAGATAAATTACAAATAACTTCATAAAATACAAAGTTTGACATAAAATACAAAGTCGAAATATCGCGGTAAATTAAAGTCTTGTTTTTATAAGATCTTGTTTTTTTTTAAGATGCTATCTTAATCGGAAAGATTTATTAGTTTGAAATAGAAATAATTAATAAAGGCAATAGTGTAGTTTCTAGAGTAATTACAGATAAATATGCGAGAGAGAGAGTTTTTTAAATGCTCTCTTTAAAGACAGTTTTCATTGCTTTACAGTGCAATTACACATTTTCACATGTTAAATTGGTAATTGCCAATAGAACGCAGAGCAATCTACCAATCACGTTTAAGAATATCTTAAAATATATTATTTTAAATGAAAAATATGCCACGCATTATAACTGTAAAACGACTTAAATAATGTGATTAAACATTTTGAAAAAAACGAAGATTTTATTATCAAAATGTGCTTTTTGAGTATTTTTTAGTTTTAAATAGAAATTTTTATAAATGTAAGAAGTGTCATTATATCAAAAACGACATAAATAATGTGATCAAATCATTGAATAATGTTCTTCTAGAATGTAAATCGTTTAAATTATGGAAAAATTAATGGAGAACCACATTGGTGTGACATGGTGCAAAATGTTGTTCAGTTCATAGTTATGAGTTTGATGTTGTGAATTACCGTTGATGTCCTTGGTTGAATGGAAATTGTTGTTTTGACGGGAAGTGTTGTCCCTCTGGTTCTCTGTGTGTTAGGTCTGGCGAATTGTGTTTTGACCGATGGAATTCAACACATGTATGAATAAAATATTGTATAATCTTTTCCATGATTACGAATTTCTATATCTTGACTGGTTGAAATGGATATTTTTCATTTATTTAGATTTTCATACATCACAAAAAGTAAGGCAACATATATCTTGAAATATGTTATTTGTTTTATACAATTTAGTGAGTAATTAATATACCTCTTTAAATGGTATCTTTTGCGTTAATTTTTACTTTTCTTTATGACACTGAGCTGTATATATACTGGTTCAAGATTCAAGAAGTCACAAGTCATTTGTGAATAGAAAGATTATACAGGAAGCAGGTATTCAGGCTAGTAGAAAAGAATGGATAGAAATCAAGTCGTTTAGTCAATGTGTATGAAACAATGTGCATGAACATGTAGAGTTGAGAAAAATGGATTATTTACATTAAGAGAGTCTTTGGTTTTAAGATGTTTGCAAGGATAAAGAAGTTTTAGATATTGAAGTTTTGATTGGAGCAGATTATCTTTGGTGGTTTCAGGAATGTTGTTCAGGGACAGGTAGATGAACCAGTAGCTGTGTCTACTAAGTTAGGTTGGGTGTTGTCCGGCCTAATGAAAGCGAGAAATGATTTGGATAACATGCACACTCAAGTAAGCTTCATTATACATGAAAATTCAGGAAATTTAAATTTAGATAAGAATGTCAACCATTTGTGGGATTTTGAAACTTTAGGAATAGTAGAGGAAGATGAAGTTCATGAATCGTTAAGGGATTCTATTGTGTTTAATGGTACACAGATACAGTGTCAAATTGCCTTGGAAAGAAGGACATCATTTAGATTATACAAAATACAGCATAAGCTTAAGAAGATTAAAGGGTCAGTTAGTACGGCTGAAAAGGGATCCTGAAATTTTAGAAGAGTATGATAAGAGAATCAAAGATCAATAGAGAAGGGGTATTATAGAGCCAGTAATAGAACTAGAGAAAGCTGATAAAATATATTATTTAACTTATCATGCGGTTATTCACAGGGAAACGAATACAACAAAGGTAAAGTTGTTTTTGATGCGTCGTGTAAAGAGTCACCCAAGGCTTCCTCACTCAATGACTGCTTGCATGTGGGACCCAAATTAGCACCATTGCTCTTTCATATTTTGATAAGGTTTAGAGAGAGAGTCGCTTTAGTGGCAGATATTGAAAAGGCATTTTGAATATGGAAATTAATACTTTGGACAGGGATTGCATAAGATTTTATGGGTTGATGATGTAAATATTGAGAGGGTGAAACCTGTAGAATAACGATTTTGTAGAGTAGTGTTTGTGTTAACTGCTCTCCATTTTTGTTGAATGCAACACTGCAGTATCATTTAGACTCATTCATAGAGATAGACAAGGAATTTGCTACAAAACTCAGAGATAGCTTTTATGTTGATGACCTAGTGTCCAGTGAACAGTCCAAGAAGAAAGTAATGAGGTTGTATGAGTCAGCAAGTGAGCAATTGGCTGCAGGAGGATTTACGCTTAGGAAGTGGCTTAGTAACGATGAGAATGTTTTGAAAGATATAGAAGAGAGAGAAAGAAGCATTTTAGAGGAAAGAAGGGCAGAATTTAGTAATTCGAAAGTGGTTGATGAACAAACTGATGCCAAAGCATCAGTTGGGGAAAATAATATCATTGAAAGTTTTGAGAAAGTACTAGGATTGGGATGGGAGTGTAAGTCGGATCGCTTTGTATTTAGCCTCTGGAAATTGGATGAAAGAGCAAAGGCAATTATCCCAAGTAAACGAAATATATTAAGTATACTTGCAGGATTATTTGATCCTTTACGTATTATAAGTCCAGTTGTAGTTTGTGCTAAGTTATTGTTTCAGGAGCTGTGTATTGAGAAAGCTAAATGGGATAATGATGCTGGAAGGTGACAAGAAAAAACTTTGGGAGAGGTGGATAGAAGATTAAGAGAGAGTCAGGGATTTAGTTGTGGTGAGATGTGTGTATAGTAATTTACTTGGTAAGGTAAAGTGTTACTTGCATGGGTACGCAGATGCCAGCCAAAAGGCATTACTGTGCGGTCGTATATTTTGTGACAGAGCTAAAAGTGCCTACAACGTAGAGTTGCTTACGTCGAAAACAAGGATAGTACCAATAAAATTGCAGACAATTTCCAGACTAGAAGTGATGTCAGCTAGAATATTAGCACAGTTGATGGACACAGTGAAGTTGGCCTTAGAAGTTCAAGTTTAATTTAATGGTACATACTACTGGTTAGACAGTAGGACTGCATTGTGCTGGATCGGTAATAGGGGAGAATGGAAACAGTTTGTGTGCCATAGAGTTAACGAGATTTTAAGATTGAGCAGGAAGGATAATTTGAAACATTGTCCGGGTGTAGACAACCCTGCGACTTAGGTTCAAAGATAGTTACGGCATCACAATTAAAGGAAAGTCAACTTTGGTGAAGGGATCGAAGTGGTTGTCAGGTCCCCAGTGTGATTGGCCAATGCCAAAATAGGCTTAAACTACAGAGGAACGTCTTGCGAAAGTCGAGAAGACAGTATTGGCTAATACACATGTGGTAGATAAAGATTGTGTGATAAAATTTGGCAAATTTACTAATCTAAAGAGACAAATACGGGTCGTGGCTATCGTTGGGCGATTTGTAGACAATTTGAAGGCAAGAGTTAAACACGGGACAAAGAGGACTGAAACATTGAAAGTGTCAGAGCTGATAATGGCAGAACGAGCGTTGATTAGAATTGCTCAGAATGAGTTAATGGAACGTAATGACTATGAGCAATTGGTTAGATAATTAAACATAGTAGAGCGTGATGGGATAGTTAGATGTAAAGGAAGACTTGGCAATTCAGATTTAGAGCTAGAAGGTAGAGAACCAATTTTATTGCCTAAGGATCATCACTTAACCGAATTAATGATTAAAGATTGCCGCAGGAAGGTTCATCATAGTGGAGTAAGAGCGACCTTAGTTCAGCTACGAGGCAAACATTGGGTACCACGAG